GTCGGCCCCAAGCACCACCGACCCCTCTCTCCATGACGTCCTCGCCAGGATGCCCCCTCCAACGACGAAAGGGGTCAGCGGTCCGAACGCAAACCTCTCTCCTAGCACCATGACCCCCGGGGACCCCTCGGCCGTGTCCCCCTCCGTCTGGCCCGCGCCAGGCGTCGTCGCTTGGGCCACCGATGGCATGGGTCGCACTGATGCATCAAGCGACGCTGCGGTTGCGCCCGACTGTGACCCTCTGTCACGGCCACTACCACCTCTACCTGCGTCGGCGGGGTCACGACTGGCTGCGTCGCACCCGCCACAATCGGCGCCACGAGCACGGTCGGCACCCCTGTCCGTCCCACCATCGACAGCGGTATCGCGGCCATCACCGGCTGCTCCATAACCTCCAAAGGCACCCCTTGAATGCCCGCGTCCACCCATCCCGCCAAGGGCACAGGCGCCACCTGACCGGCTAGCGATGCGGTCATACCGGCGCCGCTCCCCCCCCCGAAACAGGCGTGACACTAGCCGACGGCCGCTGCCCCAATTGGAGGGCGATGCTCTTCTTTGGCTCCAACGCCAAAGGATTCCGTTGCCTGCCGACGCTGCAAGGGACGAAAAACATAAGTCACGATGAAATCCGACTAAAACAAGAAAAAAACAGAGCAATTGATAACTCACCTCAGCGTCGTCGGGCGGCAGATGCGTTTGGGGGATGAACCCCCGACCCTTGCTCCACCTCGTCGGAACGAGGCTGTTTTGAGCCTGCCCTCTGCTCCTAGGCAGAGGGGCTCACCCCTGGCAGCTCCTGGGGCACATTGGTGGAACGCCCCACTCACCTTGGCTCTTGGGGCACGACAGCGAAGCCGCCCGCCTCCGCTGGCACCTCAGGCGCGACGGCGGAGCCGCCCGCCTCTGTTGGCTCCTAGGGCAGATCGATGGTACATCCCGCCTCCGTCGGTTCCTAGGGGGTGTCGGAACGCCCGCCTTCATCGGCTCCCCAGACGTACCCTCCCCTCTAAGGAACGGGAAGGGTCCTGAGGCCTGCAAGGACGAACCAATGTCTGTTAGCGCATCCTCGTTCTCTAGGTTGTCCCACTCGATATTGTCGGCTACCGTTTCTTCTTTCTTCATCACCTCGTCGTCATCACCATCGGCATCGACATCATCATTGTCAATGTCCTCCCCTCATTCCCGCGCCTGCAGCTTCCGCTGCTTCTTCCTCTTCTTGTCCTCCATCACCTTCCTCAGTCGCTCGCCCTGGGCGTGATTCGCCGCCCACACGGCCGAATCCCTCGGCAGCGGCGCCAGGTGATCCATGAGGATGAGGTCCCTCGGCTGGTCCCGCCCCTCTCAAAGTTAGTCTCACGGGGTCAAAAAATCAATCGAAGAGAAGGCAAGAGAAAGGGAAACTTACAAAGACAACGTAGCCTGGCTCTGGCCGCATCGGAGGATGCCCCGACATCGGATAGACAAAGTCGAGGGCAGCACCCACGTCATCCCACAAAGGCTCCATCGCCTCCTTGATGCGTTGCGTGATCTCGGAGTTGGGGAGCGTTCCCTCGACGGGCGCCGTTCTGTCGAACGACGCCTCGGGCGCCATCACGTATAGCGAGGGGGGGGCGTCAACAATGGCGCCACCCTCCTCGCGTGGTAAGCCCCGATGACGCCCGACCCTTTCAGGACGTTCTACCTCAGGATGTGGATGACGGTGATGTGGTCTCGGATCTTCTTCTTGTCCTTCCCCGGGACACCCCACTTCCTCCACTGCTCCGGGGCCTCTTCGATCAGGCACCGATGATGAACTCTGGCAGAGGGACAGCGACATCATTCTTGAGGTAGAACCACTACGAGTGCCACCCCTTGTTAGACATCGAGAGCCGCATGGACGGGTACTCGCCGACCCGATTGTTCTGAAGTTGGATGCCGGCGCACCCCATCGGCATGTGCAGCTCCTACCTGCCGCCCTTCTCCCTCTTCTTATAGAGGTTGACGGTGAAGAAATACCTCCACAAGTCGAAGTGGGGGCTGATCCCTAGGAATCCTTCGCACAGCATGATGAACGCCGCCATGTGCTATATCCCATTGGGATTGAAATGCTGCAGCTCAATCTTGTAGAAGTGCAGTAGCCCCCAGAGGAATTTGTGGGCGGGGGGCGCGAGCCCACGCTCGTGGAAGTGGGCGAATGACACCATGTAGCCGTCAGGCGGCGACGGTGAATCCTCGTTGCCGGGCAGCAACCACTCCTCGGCCGAGGTCCGAGCGCGGAGAAGACCGCGATGGACGAGGCCCTCCATGCGCTGGAAGGTGATGTCGGAATGGCAGCAAGGATCCATTGGACGTGGGGGCGGATGGATGCGAGCTCAACGGCAGCGGAGATGCGAAGGCAGGAAACCTAAGCGTTGGCGACGGCGGCGTGGCTATGGAGGTAAGGATGCAGGCATACGTTTGAAACACGAAGGGCTAACCCTTTAGTTTTATAGGGGCGACGGGTGCGAGGAAACCAACCACCCGCTTAGATCTCTGCGCCTGCTACAACCTGTCACCACGTCTCATCGCGGGGCGTGTGCACACAACCTATGCTCGTCCCCTCAAAAAACACGCCGAACGTTTCGCCTCCCCAAAAGGGCCACGACCTGTCACAGGTAAGAGGGATACGGACCTGAAAATGCTCCTACAGCCCGTCTAGGCCCAGAAGTTCGAAGGTTGGCCCACCAACGGGTTCGACAACCGCTCCGGACACCTTTAGAGTGAGGGGTGGAAAGGGATGGGCCTGCTAGCGGCCAGTACCCGGGCGCATGAGCGCCGCGGGCATCTCGGCCCATGTTCGAGTCTCGGCCGGATACGATCCATTGTTTTTCCTCGAAGAAAGGCAGAGAGCCCTCGGGACCAGTCGAACGGACCCAAGAACTATATGGATTGACCGCTGAGAATCTAGAGTCGGTCACCAGCTGACCCAAGTCGGACCCCCACGAACGGGATGTCGAGGCCCCACTTGGACTAGCCCGTTAACAGCTCACCGAGCACCATGATTCGTCCATAGAGGAAAATTATGGCACGGCTCAGCCCCTCCATTTTTATCGGAAAAACGCTTGAGGGAAGATGATCACAAAGATGAGCGACCCTCGACTGGACCCCTGCTATGGGCGGGGGCTCAAGGAAAGTTGAACTCGTAAGGAGACCGAACGCGCGGTAGTAGAACGACAGACCCCCGTAGGGGTCAGAATCAGGAAAGACCTTTCCTGACCCACCAAATCTCACAGCTATACCCCAAGGGGTCTGATCACGATGAAAAGGAATCGCCATCCCTAGGACACGTCGTGGGCGATAAAAGAAGGCCAAGGCCCTCAACGTCCTCCCGTTCAGAAAAGCCTCCAAATGAGTATTCTACTCCTCCGTAGGATCGGGGGTTACTGTCGGGAACCAATACTAGGGTATCCGAAGAGGAGGAGCTAATGGTCATCAACATTGATTCATCCGAATAGTCAAGAGCGCGACTACAGCTCCAACCGACCCCCAGGTGCGCGGGCTCCGCCTCGCCCGACCTCTGGGTCGGGGCCCCCGCCTCGCCCGACCTCTGGGTCGAGGGCTCCGCCTCACCGGGCCTCTGGGTCAGGGGCTCCGTCTCGCCCAACCCCTCAGGCGCGGCTCCTGACAGAAGCCCGTACCGCCGCCAACCACTACGGGCCAGAAAGTACAACCCAAGGTCAAACTTTTGGCATCGTGCAGGGAGCGAGCACATCTCAACATGACCCGTGCCTGCGACATGTCACTCCAGGGAACTTACATCACCAACAGTGACGGACGCGTGGTCACTATGCTGCCTACTCCCTGTACGGCCGCTGACCAGCACGCTGGTTAGCCACATCGCCCGCCGTGACGGAATGGGACTTTAGCGACGAACAGGCGCCCAGTGTGGAGCCGTCCCTGTCACCATCTGCAGTGTCGGCGGGACCTGCATAAAGGAGAAGAAAGGCCCGGCGGTCCTGGAAGCCTTCCTCTCCTTGGCTCTTCTCCCTCTTTCTCTCTGTGTAACCTGCTCTTCCCCTTCGTCTATAAAAGGGGAAGCAGGACACCCAGGAGGGGGGACGACGGTTCACCGCTCTACACGGCTGTAGATAGCAAAACACACGCCCTAACACGCTTTAGGAGCACACGCACACCAGAGACTTAGGACCTTTCTCTCTCTCGATCGTTTGTAACCCCTACTATAAACTTTCAGTGCTAGTAACACGAGCAACAACGACGAACTGGACGTAGAGACTTTCTGCCCGAACTAGTATAAACCTCGTGTCCTCTAAGCATATCATCCAAGGTAGACACGCAATACTAAAAATTTACTAGTTGATCTCGAAACACCGACAAGTACCGGTAGAAGGATGGAGTCATTCTTGTGATGCACCATCTCGTCCAGAATAAAGGGATTCCTCATTCTTGTGATGCACCATCTCGTCCATAATAGAGTGATTCCTCGAACTAAACATGGCGTTAGTTTTTACTCATTCCATTTCTTGCCTCTCCTCTACACCAACCATTGTCTTTTTAAAAGTTAATCATTCTGAAGTTCAGCAAGTTAAAACATATTGTATTTAAGTTGTTCTTCGCCTACAAAAGGTTCAAATTTTAAGCGTTTTTATATTTATATGATTTTAAGAAAATATATTTTTTCTTTTGAATCCGAATCCAGTCCATTCTTATAAATTGATTCTATCTGATCTGTCTGAAAGAATCTGGATCCAAAACACTTTTTCAAGAACCTGGATCCCTAACACACCCTAGTTTATTTTACCAAATTTTAATATCGATCCAATGACCCAAGTCAAATGGAGCTTCCATCCCCAATCTTCAGTAAGCAAGCTAACACAAGTAATGGTCTCTGAAAAGATAGGTTCAGAGCAAGACAGGATTCCACACTAGTTCGAAACAAAAAAAAAATTGATCAAAACTATCCTTAGGCAAGCACGACATGCAAAATGTGTGTGCAAGGACAACTGATCATCGAGTTCTAACATCTAAGTGCGGTCCATATGCATCGTAGAGGACAACAGCCTGTTTTTCTGCAGAAGATGGGAAGGGAAGGAAGATTTACAGATCGCGATGTGGGATTTCAGCTTTGGGATGTTTGGATGAGCGCTCCTGCACCTGTGGCACCGGAGTTCCATTGCGAGTACCTTTTCATCAGTGCTGGTGGTTGTTGATCCATTTTGTTCAATCTCCTCAATGACATCAACAGAATCACGGAAAAATGATGTGGTGAAGGAGTTCCAATGTTTCTTATTTTTCAAGCTTGCAGAGTTGAAATCCTGGCTAATGATGTGAAGATGCAATTGTCGCATTGATGGAACCTGTAATAAATAAAAAAACAAAACATGTGAAATTGCTCATGCCACAACTAGTGTTTTTCGAGAGGAATGATGGATAATGAACCCAAGCATAACCAATTTCTTTGGTTTGAGAAGTCAAATCAGTTAGTCCATCACATTATCCCTCATAAGAAAATGTTTATATAAATTGGGTAATGAGGTTATCACACTACAGTTCTGGATGATCACATGCCATGATGCAGTTCCTCAAATTAAAACACACTCTACTTCTCAAGGAAAGTTCAAGGAAATGAACTTGAGTTAGGATCATACCGAATGGTATCCAAGTCTGAATTCCAAAGCCGCATCTTCCTCTAGGAACTTCTGTGCCCACTTCACCCCAGCTGAATGCATCCTCCTCAACAAAGGCAAGTGTTCTTTCTTGACATCTGCTAGAGAGTCAAGACCATCCATTCTAGATATCACCAAAATATGCCTTTTGGCCTGCATATATAAAGATTTTTGCTAAGATGACAACTGGATCACTGAATATCATTAAGAAGCACACAATAGAAAAGGTATCTAAGTAGAAAATTCCATAATAAACCTTTGGATAGAGATCTTTCAGAACAATATATTCATCTGATGTCTCCAGGATAGAATCTGAGTTCTTGTACTTTTCTGGGTTCATGGCAAGTTCATAAAGAGACTGGGCCCAGGATCCCCAAGTCTTACTGGTAACCACATCATTCCTTTTGTTGTCTACTTGTCTAGTTTGGCTAGGAACAGCAGATGAAGTCATGGCATCATCATGGCAATTTGGAGCATTAACCTTTGTACACTCATGCTGTTGCTTTGCAGTCATAATGGGTTGAAACAACTTATGTTTTTTCATCCTTTCAGATCCATGGCTGTCCTCTCGCTTCATTTTTGTGTCATTGGGAGATGTCCCTCCAGATGCTGACTTTTCTGCTCCAGATTCACTGTTCTGCTTTCCCATGTAGCTCTGCACAATGGATGCAAAATTCTCAAAAAGTGAATTGTATGCTTCACGAAGAATCTTAGACCCTCTGGTATAGTCATTCTTAAGATAGTCTGGTCGCATTGGATTCATATTTGGCCCAAGCACATGTATGACATGGGTCACACCTTCCCGTTGACGCAGAGGAGAAGTTGATGGAAGTGGAACAACAACAGAGGTTCCTGGCCTCAGTGCATCAGCACATTTTTTAGTTGCATGTTGTAAAGATTCTCCAGCAGCATTATATATTGCCGCATTAACCCCTCCACCTCCAGGTTTTAGCCTCCTGCATTAAAAGGGCACAAATATCATCTCCCTGTCTGTAGTAAGGTTACTGACCTTCTCCAAAACAGCCAGTTTGGTTCGCCCAGAAACATAATAACACAACTTGTTCGAAAAAAAAAACATAATAACACAAGATTCAACAAAAGAAAAATATTTAGACATAATGCTTTCCTTCTAGATGAGGAAACGTAAATTTAAGCAGGTACATAGGAGTACCAAATATTTAAGTAGCCAAAATCATTACCAATTGGCAGCATTACCAATCACGCTGCATTGAAGACCTCCTCTTGTGTGCAACTGAGTGATATCTCCCACGCATGTGAAAAATCTGTTGGAGTCAATGCTCTTCTTAGCAGCCTTCTGTTTGACCAATGACAAAATTCTTGATTTCTCGCTCAGGTCTACAAGAATTAGTCTTATATTATCAAACTTCTGCAAGAAATTAGCAGCTGTGTCCACTATAATATCAGATGCTCTGTCAAGATCAAACTGGAAGTCGGCAGTAGAAATAGATGGAAATGCCAGAGTACGGGAACCAACATCACAATAATCACTTTCTTTAGCATGCTCTTCATTTTCCATCTTGTCATTCAACCCCTTCTCAACTTCCATTGGGCAGGCAAAACCAGCTTCAACATTTTCCTGTTTTGGCAAAGGATTTTGCTGCGCTGGCTTTATTTCTGTCAATGCAAGCTTAGGTCCACTAGATGTCTCAACACTGGAAGCATCAGCTTTCTTTAGAAACTTCATTATACCAACTTGTACGGGTCTTTTGCTCTTCTGACCAAAAACTCCTGATGGAAGACTATCTGAAGGCCCTAAATCATTATACAAGTCAACTGCTTTTTTAATGTCGCCATCATCATTACAGCACATGATCCGACTGAAACCTTCTGTGAGCAAGGGTGTCTCCTTCTTTTGCAGCATGCGGTTGACAACAAGGGCAGCCTTCCCACCCTGCAGATTGCCGTCATGACCCTTTCGGCTCACTGCACGTGAGATACAGACCTTTGCAGGTAGATCCAGGGAGACAGCATGCACATCTGCGTGCAATGTGCTGCCCAGCTTCACAAAATCAGCACGCTGCTCGCGTTCCAAGTTACAGCGGTCAACGAGAACACTCTTGCCCTCCTTCAAAGCATCTGATGCAGCCTTCAAGCACTGTATTTTTGTCCCAGCTTTGCCGTTCCCAATTGTATCCTGGATAACAGTAAGCACCAAAACAGAGTTCTGTCAATCTGCGCTGAACTGTTGTGTTAGTTAATGAACAGGTGAACAGCCATCGTGAAACTGTAAAACACCGTGAGTAAAATTGTCAAAGCAAATTGATTGGGAACAAAGACATTAGTATTTGAGATTCTCTGCTTCCCTATGTGTGATGGCATCCTTATTTTAACATACTAAATTGTTATTACAGTATTTATCCAGTAAGCAGTGAAGTAAAACAATGAAGTGTCCACTGAGAGCACAGATGGACTCGCAAGACGCAACGACGAAATTTCGACCAAATCAAGTGTTGTTTGGCAATAATTAGCCCTCAACTATTCAACAAGTGTTGTTTTTTTCAATTAACTAGCACATTGTCTTGAAACATCACATTGTATATGTAAGGAATAACTAGCAAATAGCAATGGTCAGCACATTTGCACTCATTGAGACCAAGAGCGACGGAGGACCCACCTGGCAGACGCGAACCCAGTGGCGGCCGGCGGTGGAGCCGCCAACTACGGCCTCGGCGAACGAGGACTTGCCGCTGCCCGGTGGGCCCACCAGTACCACCACCACCTCCTTGCGGCCGCGCTCCTCCTCCTTCATCTCCGCGCCCGCGCCTGCACCGACGATTCGAGACAGCACGCGCTAGGGTTTAAGCAGCGACGGCGGGAGCTGTTCGATTAGACGAACGAAACGGAAAAAAAAAAATCTTTGTCTCGGGCGCACCTATGGTTGCCGACGGAGGTGGTGGAGCGGAGCTGGAGCCGCCCGCGTCGGGATCCATCTAGCAAAATGGACGAACCGACGAAACCTGGTGTGCCAGGCTACCGCGATGCGCAAAGGTGGGCGCGGAAGAGGCAAGAAACGGAGGAAGGGCCGAAGGCCGGAGTGGTGGAGGCAGCGACGCGGGAATCGGCGGGTTCTGGCCGTCCGCGGCTCAGCACGATCGAATCTGATACGTCGGTTACGCAGCACGGTCTAATCAGACCAGGGGGGCAATGGGAAAAAGGAGCAATTAACCAAGGTAATCAGACCAGACGAGGGAAAAAAGCAAAAAAAAGAACCTGTGGCTGCTGGGATTCGAGCCCAGGTCTCTACGGCCACAACGTAGAATTCTTACCACTAAACTACAGCCACTTTGTTGTGCATCTCCATGACTACGTTTATTAGTCCTCTATGAAACATGACACCAGGGCCACAACGTAGAATTCTTACCACTAAACTACAGACACTTTGTTGGTCATCTCCATGACCACGATTATTAAACTACAGCCACTTTGTTGTGCATCTCCATGACTACGATTATTAGTCCTCTATGAAACATGACACCAGGGCCACAACGTAGAATTCTTACCACTAAACTACAGACACTTTGTTGGTCATCTCCATGACCACGATTATTAGTCCTCTATGAAACATGACACCAGCATCGTGCAAAACATCCATCTTTTCTATGTTTTCTCAAAAATCTGCGCCAAACCAGTGTCGGCGATCAAATATAGTACAGTACAAAGCCAGGCAGTTCTCTCATCTAGCACTTGAAGAACCACTGCCCTTTATTTATCCCGCAATGGCCTCGTTCACTTTGCTGAAAAAACAAGCCGAAACACTGTTTTAGCTGATTTGTCGTGAGAGAAAAATACTGTTCCAGCTAAAAAAAACTGAAAAGCATGGATTATAACGCGAACAGGTGAATCTAGAGACAGTCTACGACAGGCTAGTACTCGTTGAAGTGTATGGCGCCAAGCTTCCACACGAGGAAGGCGGTGCCGAACATGATGGTGGTGATGAGCGTGAAGGAGACGAGGACGATGAACACGTCCAACCCGAACGGCAGCTCGAACGTCCACCCCTCCTTGGGCATCCCGCGCTTGCTGTCGTCGAACAGGTTGCCCGGCGCCTCGGGCAGCCGCGACCCGCGCCGCCCGCCCCCGCCCTTCTTCGCGTCCGCCTCGCGCAGCGCGTCCAGCACGCCGCTCCCGAACTCCGGCTTGGCCGATTTCGACGACGACGACGAGCCTTTCGCCGACGGCTCCGCGTACTTGCCCAGCACGCGCGCCGCCCGCTTCGGCGGCTCGCTCGGCGCGCTGCGGCTGGCCGTTACTGCCGGGCGTTACTGGGGATCTCTCGGCGCTGGGAACGGGAGAGGCTGGAGGAGGAGGGGTGTTGGCTGTTGTTTCTTGCGCCGCGGCCGGCGCCGCCTGGTAATTGTCCGTGGCCCGCCGGCAGCTAGTTCTTGCATGCTTGTTATTCCTCGCCGCGTAGCTCAGCCGGAGGAGCTCGGGCGGGAGCTTCTGGAAGGCTGCAGCTGCTGCCGCCGCCTTCTCGAAGGGATGCCTCGAGCAAAAGTTCAGCTGGGTGTAGTACGACGAAGATCTTGGTACTCCTCCTGGCTGTACACATGAGCAGTAGCATCAGGAAGCAAGAAGAAACAAGATGGAGCGCTATGAGTTACTCCGTAGAGAAGAAGCTTACTTTTGCAGTAGCCCTGGGCAGGCAGGAGCAGGAGCTGAGGCTGGTGGCAGCCATCTTCCTCTCATCCGCTCGGCCATAGCATTTTGGGCGTGTTGGGTCTCATTTGCCTGGCCGGCAAGTGGCCTGGAGCTTGCCTGGAGCTCATTTGGATTGAACCCTGGGTCATTGCCTGCACCAGGCAATGCTTCAACGCCCAGGCGAGCAAAATCGGTTGCCTGGTGCTGCTTTGTTTGCCTGGCATGCAATCAAGTACGATGTGATGGTCTTCTACTATTAAATATTTGAAGAATTATCCATTAACGCACTATGCTATTTCAAATATTTCTTAGAACTGTTACTGTTACTGCTAAAAGGATTTCCTACAGGCAGGATATTAAATTGGTGCAGCTACTGTTCATTGATATCACTGTTTTGCGTGTAGGTTATTGTTTTCTATTATTTATTTGAATCCTTTATTTGCCTTCATATATATTATATTATTTAAACAAAAGAAATTAAAGTTTTATTAGACAAGAAAGCACACTTTATATTCACAATAGTTTTTTCAGACCATAACAGTGTATGTTTAAATATGGTATTATACATTTTATTAGCTTTTAAATATGTATTGTATCTTTTATTAGCCTTTCCAGGTACAGGCTTCCAACCAAACGAACTATCTTATAACTTGTCTGACCAAACAGATTCTATCGATTTCAGACAACACTTTTTACCCGGCAATTACTCTAGGCTTCCGTCCAAACATGCCCTGTGTGCTCGAGGCCACAGCTATCTTCACTGGCCTCGAATCGGAGGATGAGGCTGTCCACGAATCGGAGCTGTGGGGGCGTTGGCGACTGGATAGATCCGACGACACGTTGGGCTGGGCCGAATTCGTTACACGGCGGTCATCAACCGTAAGCCCAGAGTTGTCTTTTGGGAAATCCTCAGCAATTTTGGCATAAAAAAGAGTCGAGAGCAAATTTTTTTCTTGGATCTCCACAGCATTTTAGTTTGAAGAAAACTCTCGGTTCCAATAACATCAAAAGTTCAAACTACTTCAAACACTAAGGGCTAATTTGAAAACTCAAATCCTCTTGGGATCCCTAACTTGAATGGAAAATCCATAGGTAAATAATTTGAATAATTATTTAGTTCTTTATGGAGAGTTTTTTTTATCCATGGGTGTGCTTGCTTCCAAATTAGCTGTAATAGACCGTCCGACACCTACCCGTTTGTCATATTAGCTTATCCCTGTGTTCCTCCACCACCAGCACCATGCACGTCACCTGCTAAGCGCGTGTTCAGTTCTAAAAATGCTTCCAAAAAAGTGCTACAGTGTCCGTCACATCGAATCTTACGATACGTGCATAGAACAGTAAATGTAGACGAAAAAAAAACTAATTACACAGTTTGGTTGGAAATCGCGAGACGAACGTTTTGAGCCTAATTAGTCCATGATTGAACACTATTTACCAAATAAAAACGAAAGTACTACAGTACCCAAATTCCAACTTTACCTCCAACTAAACACAACCTAAGTTTCGGTCGCGTCATATATTCTCAGAAGTCGCAAGGCAGACTAACAAAAAAAAAAAAAATTGCTAGTATACTTGGCCAAGACACCAGAATCTTGTGAAAACAAAAGATAGTATAGAAATGGTCCGCTATATTAGCATTCGCCCAATTACATTGGTAGAGGGAGAGATAAGTCAGTAATTCTGGTTTACCAAACGACAAAACTGTCCAGCAAACGCTATACACAATTTTACTCTCTTCGTTCAGCTATATATGTACAAACCTTAATAAAGATAATAAATGTTAGATCTAAAACTCTTGCAAAACTTGCAACAGTCGTCTACCTAAGGACAGACTTGTTTGGTCGGTGACAGTTGAACGTCTCCGTTCAAAACAGATCCCACGAACCTTTCAGCTTCTTCCAGTGTCACCTCGTCCTCGTCGTACACCGCGAACCTCCCCCGGCGAGGCTTGTAGGAGATGAGCAGCTTGTCAGATGACTTATATCCAGACTTATCAAACGATGACAGGAATGCAGATTGTTTGTCCTTATCCAACAAAGCATAGGAGACTGCGTTTCTGGAATTATAGTTCTGCCCCCTTATCAGAGTCTTCTTAGATATCTGGATGCAATCGCCAGAAAAGAGAAGGTATGCGTTAACAAATTGCTATACCGAAGATTAAGGAAAGAAGAACCACAAGATAATAGATGTTACTATGCATTCAGAAGAACAAGAAAACATGTGCTTCTGCTATCTACTATGATTTGGCTTTTCAAAACAGAAGATATACCTCAGACAGGACTGTTTCAAGCTGTCCCTTGGCTTTGTTTGACCCGAAAACACCAATGATGCATACTGAAGTCTTATCTCCACAGATTTCCTCAAAGTTGGAAGCTGTGAGGAGAGGAACCTTGTTTTCTTCCCATTGACTGGAAGGTTTCTTATTAGCTTGATTCGATGACAGCTTCTTATTCTTCTTCTCAAAACTTTCTAGCAGCGTCTTCAATTCCTTGATACCAGATCTGAGATCTTTCACCGAAATGCCATCCTTCAGAAGGAGCTCCTCACCATTCACGGTTCGGCCAATTACAGCTGGAAGATTCTTCACGCCAAGACTTTTGAGCAGCGGATGAGAAACATCATGAACCTAAACATGCACAGCAGTTTATCATGTTACACATACTTCCATTGAAGTTGTTTATCAAGTCCTAATAGCATATAAGGTCTCGTTTGGCAGGGCTTTACTTCACTAGTGAAGTCATTTTTTTTTCTTCAGCTCCATGAACAATTCCACCGGTGAAGCTGAAGCGGTTTTGATAAACCGTTTGGTAAAATGACTTCCATGTGAGAACATGTTTTTAGGGGCCTGGAGGAGGAGCCGGGAGAAGCCACTTTTTTTAGCTCCATCCCACCCTAAATCATTGTGAGAGCATGTTTTTAGGGGCTTCAACAGTGAAGCTATTTCACTTTACCTCGTTTGGCAGAAAACGGCTCTAAACGACTCCTAAAGCTGGTGGAGAAGCCCTCAAAACGAGGCCTAAGAGTTTCCCCCCTGATTGTTCACCAGCATGGTAAAGGTATGCTATTTTAATGGAAGCTCAGTCATTTCCTCCCTTCGTTCCAAATTGTAAGTCGTTTTAGCTTTGTCCTATGTCAATTTTGTGACCAAATTTATAAAAAAACCATTAACATCTACAATATTAAACAGATACAATATCAAAATATATGTCACGGTGTATCTAATGAATCTAGTTTGATGCTGTATATGTTTGTGTATTTTCTTATAAAATTGGTCAAAGCAAGAAAAGGACTCAAAAGGTTGACTTAGGATAAAACTAAAACGACTTACAGTTAGGAATGGAGCGAGTAAATTATTTTTCATAGAATTTTTATATTATAACCATTCATTACCGCTTACTGCCCAGAAGTAACTACACCCCACACCAATTGACATCTCAGAGTATGCTATGTGCCAAGTTTTCCCATGTCGAGCAGAGAAATTGTTAAGGCCTAGAATTTCCTAAGCCTGGCAACCAAATGGAACAGTAACAGCAACAGAACAAATTACTCACCTCAGCATCATAAAAAAATAATCAATTGCGGAACATCCCACTGATAGCACGCCACATTGCTGGTGTGTCCTTACTCGATAGTAAGAGCACTTGAGGAAGGTTTGGTAGAATCTTTAAAGGGAAACTGAATTGGCCAATATCTGTTAAGTAATCTGCTGCTTCCTTGTGTGAATGCATAGCAGGGGAAGGTGGCGCCGAAAAGGCTCTCCGCTGTGGTACCGTAGCCACAGTAAGGGTAAGCGTCGAACGGCTCTCCTACCGCACTGTAGCCACAGCAGGGGCAGACGCCAAAGTCAGCCCTGCTGTCACATCTAGCCATTGTAGCAGCATGATAGCCTGACATGTCTGTATACTAGGATTATATGGGTAGAGTTATATATATATAGTTTGCCACTGCAACTCAGTAAAGAGAGCGAGTTCAGTTTTGCCATCTCCTCTGCGGAGCTCCAGCCAACGCTTGTGCTTGTGCTGTGTATGTGCTCTATTCTTCCTCTCTTCTTCTACCTCTAACCATAGTGTGTGGTCGCTAGGATAGTGTCGTGGTCGGCAACTCTGGTGAGTGGTCGTCTCACCTCGTGCCGGTGATCTGGGGCTAACAAGTGGTATCGGAGCCGTACAAGCGCCATCGCCAGACTAACCGCTGGCGATGACGGACAGTTTCGAGATGGGCAACAACTGCTGCCCAGCCATGACAGAAGGTCGTTGTGCGCACGGTACGAGAGGTCAGCGACACCGGTTGGCCGACGCTGACTCACACCAACTATGGCGAGTGGGCGGTGATCATCACTCCAGCGAAACAGGGAACTCGATCACCCTGTTCCGCCAGAGTGATCTGCACAGCACCTGGAGTGCTCGGCACCCCACCTGGAGTGCTCGACACTACTCCTGGACTGCTCGTCACCACTCTTGGAGTGGTCGACACCCCTCTCGGAGTGCTCGGCACCAGTCTTGTAGTGGTCGGTACCACTACAAGACCTCTCGGCTCCGCTACGGGAGTGTTCGGCACCCGTCCTAGAGTGGTCGGCACCACTGCAGGACTACTCGGCTCTACTCCTGGAGTGCTCGGCACCCCTCCCGGAGTGCTCGACACCGCCCCAGGAGTGCTCAGCTCTATTGCTGGAGTGCTCAGCACCTCCTCTCCAGCATCTCCACCCCCGTGGATGACCAAGTGCTCGACGACGAAGGTGCTGGTGAAGCCGCTAGCTCCCCCCGTGCTCGGACTGTTCCAGTCCCAGGCCGTCTTCTCGTCGAACATGACGTCGCGCGAGATAAGCACCTTGCCTCCACGTGGGTCGTAGAGCCGGTACGCCTTGGTACCTTCCGCGTAGCCCAGGAGCACTATTGGTGTGCTCCTATCCTCCAGCTTGGTGACGACCGGCTTTGTCTTCCTAACATGGCCGATGCAGCCAAATGTTCGGAGGAAGGACACGCTCGGCTTACGCCCATACCAAGCTTCGAACGACGTCTTGCCCTTTAGGGCCTTGGTGGGCGCGTGGTTGAGGATGAACACCGCCGTGGTCACCGCCTCACCCCAGAACCTTACCGGCATGCTCTTGGCCTTTATCATGGATCGAGCCATGCCGACCACCGTCTGGTTCCGCCACTCCACCACACCATTCTGACTGCGGCGAGTACGGCGCGGTGTGGTGTCGCACCACACCCTAATCCGCACAGTACGCAACGAACTCCACCGAAGTGAATTCGCCGCAACGATCAGTCCTCAGCATGCGCAGCTTCTTGCCGCTCTCCGCCTCCATGCGCGCCTTGAACTTCTTGATCGCCGCCACCACCTCGTCCTTGCTCATCAGGAGTTGTAGCCACATATAGTGACTGCAATCATCCACGAGCAGGAGGAAGTACCGCCGACCACCGTTTGTGGCTGGCATGATTGGCCCACAAAGATCATCGTGGACGAGCTCGAGACCGTCCACCGCGCGATACTCGGCCGCCTTTGGGAATGACAGCCTCCTCTGCTTCCTGATCAGGCAGCTGTCGCACAGCTCGCCTACGTGCTCGATGTGGGGCAACCCTCGAACCATCTTCTCCAGCCGACCAAGCGCGTTGAAGCTGAGATGGTCGAATCGGGCATGCCATAGCCACGGCTCCTCGGTGTGCCATGCTGCCAGGCACACCGGCTGCTCCACCTTCAAGTCGAGCAGGTACAGTCGGTTTTGGGACCTCTTCACCTTGGTATGAAGGCGCTGCTCCCGATCCCTGATCTTGAGGACGCCGTCCTTGATCAGTACCTCGCTACTGCGCTCATCCAGCTGCCCAATGCTGATGATGCTTGAACGCAGCTGTGGGATGTAATATACATCCGTTAGCGCGCGGTGCTCACCGTTCTAGCACCTGAAGATGATGGTGCCGCGCTGTCGGATACCACAAGAAGGGGTACCTTAAGCAAGAACCAAAAATATTGCTTAAGCCTTGCAAAAATCAAAGCCAAAGGACAACCACGAGGTCTCGGTAGATTCTCTGATTCGCCCGAGGCTTGCGCCGAGGCCTCAGACAAAAGGCCAAAGCTCTCCGCCCCGCCGAGGCCCTCTCGCCGAGGCTCCGCCCCGCAAGGCCTCGGACGGGATACCAATTCTCCGATTCGCCCGAGGCTGGGCTCGGCAACAACCTCGTCACCTCCGTCTCGACCGACTCCTCTGACAAAATGTCACATCCAGTTAATGCGCCCAACTACTCCCGCAACGTCAGCCGCACGTTGGCGCAGTACAGGCAGAGTGATCGACGGGACAGGGGACCGGGCGCAGCAGGGGTTACCTGCCACTGTGCTCATCACTGTACCCCCTGCTGACACCCGTACTGCCCTGTGCTACCTAACTCCTGCGCTAAGGACAAAGTGGCGTGGAGGGTCAAGTCTGGGTCCCTGTAGTCTCGAAATCAGCATGAAAGACCAACTGCTCGTCCTCCACCTCGTCCGAGACCCCCCGGCAGGGCCTCAGACGTACTATTCTTTCTCCGCCTTGGCCGAGGCCGGGCTCATCCCGCATCCTCGTCGCCTCCGCCTCAACCGTCCCTCTGGCGAGCCGTCCCATCTGTTTAAGTGCGCCTGGTCACACCTACTACGTCAGCCACGACTGGCAGGGTACAGCAACAGGGGCGATGGGACAGCGGTCAAATCTCCTTTTTACCATCCCCTACTGACGGTGCAAGGGTTACTGTGACCTGTGGACACACGCTCCGCACTTTTCCACCTGAACCGGGTACGACGCTGACCACCGAGACCCCCGCATCATACACGGGTCACCTCCGAGGCCTCGGCAAAGCAGGCCTCGGCACGATCAGCTACATCACCCGCCAGGCCTCGGCACTCCACCAAGTCAAGAATCCACAAGGCACGGCATGTCTCCTACAGTGGAGGCCATACTGACTAGACGTCAACAAGGACTCCCACGACCTCAACAACCTCGAGCCTGGCTAGCACGGCGCGCCAGTCAAGTACCAATCGCCATTCCCAACACCATGCTGCTACAGAACTAAACTACAGTAGGCTCCACGTGTAGCTCACTCATGTACTCCTGGCTCCCTCCTTGCGGTTATAAAAGGAAGCAACCAGGGATAGCTCTAGAGAGGCGAAAAAACACACAAAAGAACCACGCTCTCACACACGCGCAAGCGACACTCTGTAACACACGCTCTCCCAAGCTACCTGAGAGCAACGTCTCAAGCAGTCCGCACCGTTTCACGCTGAGACCTGGGACTAGCTCCCTCTCTCACCTAGCTTGTAACCCCCTACTACAAGCACTTTGGTGCAAGGAATACAAGATCAATCTCTCAGACTGGACGTAGGGCACCAATTGCCTGAACCAGTATAAACCTTATGTCTCTTTGCATCACCATCCGGAATTAGGGGCACGCAGTTCAAATTCACTGGTTGGTTGAGGACCCCCCAGTTCGAAACACCGACACGCGCCCTCGGTTTGCCACCCTTGAGCCGTCACCAAACTTCATCGTGCCAGTCACGTCGTCGTCGAGCTCGGAGAAGGCTGCCTTGGAGCCCGTCATGTGGTTGCTGGCGTCAGAGTCTAGGTACCACCGCTGCTCCTGTTCACCGCCCACATGTCCGAGGTGGACTTGGGCGCGCAGTTCGTCGAGGTAGACAGCTTTCAGAGCCTTCCCATGCCCTTTCACCGCCATCACCTCTCCCTTCTCCTTAGCCTCGATGTCATGTAGTGCACAGAACATTGCCATCAGGAGAGTGGCCTCATCATCATCATCAGCCTGCGCCAGATGAGCCTCAGCCTTCTTCTCCTGCTTGTGATTTGGGCACTCCTTTGCCCAATGGCCCGTCTTCCCACAGCACCGGTAGGAGTTGGGGTCGACCTTCTTCTTCTTCTATGAAGAAGCCTTGCTACGACGCTTGCCATCGCCACCGCAGCTAGAGTTCCTCTGGGCAGCCCACTTCTCCTCTGTCAGCAGCAGCTTGCCATTGTCCTTCGTCGCTGTGGCCTACTCCATGCACTCGTCCACCGTCTGCAGATGGCCTATCACATCCTCAATGGTGAGGGTGGACAAGTCCAGCATCGTCTCTATGGAGAGAGCGATCTGGATGTACTTCATCAGCACAGAGTAGAGGTACTTGAAGACCGCCTCCTCTTCGTCGATGGTGACATCGTGGCTCCTCAGCTTGCTGATAAGCGTCTGTAGGCGGAGGGAAAAGTCCTCCACCAATTCACCATCCTTGAACTAGAGGTTGGCGTACTCCTGCTTCAGCAGCTGGGCCGTTGCCTTCTTTGCGTGGTCGAAACTGATGCACATCGCCGCAATGGCCTCCCATGCCTCCTTAGTAGAGTTTTTCGCCCCCAACGGCTCCCTATACTCCACTGGTATAGCAGCGCGCTGACATGTCGTCTTCTTCGTTGTCGATGCCCTTGTCAACAGCATTCCAGAGCCATCGGGCTCTGAGCTTGACCTTCATGGTCACCGCCCACTCGCCATAGTTGGTGCGAGTCAGTGTTGGCCAACTGGTGCCGTTGACCTCCCGCACCATGCGCACCACAGCAGCTTCGCTGCTGTCGCCCATTTCCAAATCGTCCATCATCGCCAGCGGTTAGTCCGGCGATGGCGCTTGTATGGCTTTGATACCACTTGTTAGCCCCAGATCACCGGCACGAGGTGAGCCGACCACTCACCAGCATTGCCGAGAGGTCTTGCAGTGGTGTCGACCACTACAAGACTGGTGCCGAGCACTCCAGGAGGGGTGACGAGCGGTCTAGGAGTAGTGTCGAGCACTGCAGCCGAGGTGCTGAGCACTCTAGGTGCTGTGCAGATCACTCCGACAGAATAGGGAACTCCATTGACACCGATCGAGTTCGCCTCACCTCCAAGTGACATCACTGAGTTTGTGGATGTCTTCCACGATGATGAGAAGGTGCGGTTTCGTACGCTGGATGACATCTTCGGTGGCACAGGGCCCTCAGGCCTGGCGGGTCAGCTTCTCAATGACCCAGAGCTGCTTCTTGTTAGTATAGAGGAACCACCCATGTTCGTGCTGGCCGAGCGCGATGCAAATTGGCGGTGGGCGATGCTGGAGGAGATGAAGGCAATCGAGGAAAACGAGACTTGGGAGCTCATCGATCCACCTCTAGGATACCGTCCGATCGGCCTAAAGTGGGTCTACAAGGTCAAGTGGGACGAGCACAGTGCCATTGTCAAGCACAAGGCATGCCTCATCGCCCGAGGCTTTGTCCAGTGCGAGGGCATTGACTTTGAGAAAGTCTTTACGCCGATAGCGCGCATGGAGTCTGTTCGACTACTTCTAGCTTTGGCAGCAGCGAAGGACTAGCGCGTCCATCACCTGGACATGAAATCGGCCTTCCTCAATGGCGAGTTGGTGGAGACAGTCCTCATCAGACAACCTCCGGGTTTCGCTGTCAAAGGAGCGGAGCACAGGGTGCTCTGACTGCGCAAGGCGTTCTATGGGCTGTGGTAGGCCCCACGAGCGTGGAACGCCAAGCTTGATGCCACGCTGGGTGAGCTTGGGTTCACAAGGTGCGTAGCCGAGCACGCACTCTACACGCGGCAACGGGGGAAGGAGGAGCTTGTCGTCGGCGTGTATGTGGACGATTTGATCATCACCGGTGCACGTGCGGAGGATATCAACAGCTTCAAGCACGAGATGGCGGCTCGTTTTCGAATGAGCGATCTGGGCGCGCTCTCCTACTACCTCGGCATCGAGGTGAGATAGGGGAAGGAGGTGCTCACGCTCGGTCAGAGCGTGTACACCTTGAAGCTGTTGGAGCGGAGCGGCATGGCTGAGTGCAAGCCATGCGTGACTCCGATGGAGAAGCGACTAAAGCTGACGAAGACCAGTACTGCGACGAAGGTAGATGCAACATTCTACCAGAGCATCGTCGGCGGTCTACGCTACCTAGTCTATATGAGACCAGATATTGCGTTCATCGTGGGTTATGTCAGTCGCTTCATGGAGGATCCCAGAGAGGATCATTGGCCTATGGTGAAGCGACTACTGCGCTACGTCAAGGGGACGGTGGATCAGGGGATCATCTTTCCTAAGATCGGCAGAAGTAGGCTATAGCTCACTGCGTTCAGCGATGCAGACATGGCGGGGGAATCGATGGATGGCAGAGCACCTCTGGCGTGCTCGTTTTCCTCGGGTCGGCTCCAATCTCATGGTTGTCACTGAAACAGAAGGTGGTGGCATTGTCCACATGCGAGGCAGAGTACGTGGTGGCGGCCACAGCGACGTGCCAAGTTGTGTGACTGTGTCGGCTGCTGGGCGAACTAACCGGTGTGGAAGCTCACCCACTAGCACTTAAAAGCATCTAGGCCCCAAGTTGGGTTTTGATGATTAATGACAATACGAGATTACTGTGACTAACGTGTGTTTTGCAGATGCAATTAAGTTAGGTCATGGTAATGACAATTGATTGGGCAATCATGGTTGTCATGCCCCTACGATGGAAATTGTTTTGGTTTTAAAAGGATGGACGACAAGGTTAAGGATGGACTAGTTCTAAGTGTCATTTGGTGTTGAAGAGACACTTAGAGTAGTTTAGAACTTTGTTTTTCCTTTGGCCGTACTATTAAGGGGGGTATGGATGGGTAGCTTGACCTAGGTGAGTCTAGTGGGTTAGGTGTGGTGCACACTTATCAAATCTAGCACTAGATAGCTCCTAAATAGCCCTAAGATCAATTGGAGCAAACTTCATTCACATATGATTGCGAGTTGGAAGTGAATGGAGGGTCAAATGTTGACCGGACGCTAGTTCCGGTGTGACCGGACGCTGGCGTAGAGTCCAGTCAGTTCATTTGATCAAGGTGAAGTCATCTGGATGCGACCGGACGCTGAGTGAAATATGACCGGACGCTGGGTGTCAGAGTCCGGTCAACTCCAGTAAAGTTCCGGAGAGGGAGAATCTTGATCGGACGCATTCGGTCAATGCTGACCGGATGCTGGTCAGGTTCCGGCTACTGACCGGACGCTGGGTGCCAGAGTTCGGTCAACATCAGTAAGGTTCCAGAGAGCAGTTCTTGTGATCAGGCGTGTCCGGTCAGTGCTGACCGGACGCTGGTCAGTGTCCGGTCATAACTTAACTGCTCGGTGGCGGGGGAGAACTGACCGGAGCGTCCGGTCACCCCGCAGTGGCACATAACGGTTCGTTTTGAATGGGGGTTATAAATACTTCCTCTATTCACTCAAGGGGTCACTTTTGCTCATTTCAACAGCTGAGAAACACCCTTCAGAGTGCCAAGGAGAGCAAGGTCCTAGTGAGGTGATTGAGATTTGAGAATCAAAGAGAGAGGCCTCATTAGTGAAAGCAAGAGTAGCAAAGTATGCATCCACCCTTCTTATTAGGCTTGTCGTGGTCAAGTGAGAGTTCGTGCTTGTTACTCTTGGTGATCGCCATCACCTAGATGGCTTGGTGGTGATTGGAAGTTCAGTGATCATCCGGTGGAGCTTGTGGATGACCCAACTCAAGTTGTGAGCGGTTGTGGGTGATTCACCGCGATGGAGTGTTAAAGAATCAACCCGTAGAGAGCACTTGATCCTTGCGCGGATCAAGGGGAAGCTACACCCTTACGCAGGTGCTCCAACGAGGACTAGTGGGGAGTGACGACTCTCCAATACCTCGGCAAAACATCACTGCATTCCTCCTTCTCTCTTTACTTTAAGCATTTACTTTGAGCGATTCAATTCTTGTCTTTACATTCATAGAATTACCATGCTAGAGTAGGATTGGAACTTATGATGTAAAACTTTTGTGCGGTAGAACATTAGAAACACTTTCTACTCACAAGGGGTGAAGTGGGCTAAGTGTAGAGTTTAATTATTACAAAGAAAATTAGATTTAGCCCAATTCACCCCCCCTCTTGGGCATCTTGATCCTTTCAGCACTGATGGTGGACAACCAGCCCGCCATCGCCCTCGCGAAGAATCCGGTTCTCCACGACCGGAGCAAGCATATCAACGTCAAGTTCCACTTCTTCAGGGACTCTATCGATAGAGGGCAGACCGTCATCGAGTTCGTCGAAACTGGTCGACAACTCGCGGACGTCCTCACCAAGCCGCTCGGCCGTCTTCGACTCACGGAGCTAAAGAAGATGATCGGCATGGAGTGGGTTCTAGGGTTAGCAGTAGGATTATGGGAAGAATTGTTAAGTAATCTGTTGCTCCCTTATGTGAATGCATGGCAGGGGAAGGCGGCGCCGAAAAGGCTCCCTGCTATGGTACTGTAGCCACAACAGGGGCAGGCGCCGAACGGCTCTCCTACCGCACTGTAGCCATAGCGGGGGCAGGCGGCAAAGTCAGCCCTGCAGTCACATCTAATCACTGTAGCGGCATGATAGCCTAACATGTCTGTGTAATAGGATTAGATGGGTAGAGTTGTATATATATTTTGCCACTGCAACTCAGTAAAGAGAGCGAGTTTAGTTTTGCCATCTCCTCTACAGAGCTCCGGCCAACGCTGGTGCTTATGTTGTGTGTGTGCTCTGTTCTTTCTCCCTTCTTCTACCTCTAGCCATAGTGTGTGGTCGCCAACGATAGTGTCGTGGTCGGCAACGCTGGTGAGTGGTCGGCTCACCTCGTGCCGGTGATCTGTGGCTAACAATATCTACCCGTTTGGAGAATCTTGGCAGGTGTTCTTGAGAAAAATGTCTTCAAGCTCTTAGCATCATGTTCTTCAGAATACTCATGCAAAGATCCTTTCTCTGTAGTAGCATATGAACAGATGAAGAGGCCGGCCGATTTCCCTATTGAAACACCAGACCTTTTGCAAAGAGATTTTTCATTGTCACAGTTGACCTTACCAGCCTGCACAAATAGAAGGCTATTAGGTATGTATGTCCGTGCCATATGTTGAGGAGCGCTATATATTTCATTATCGTTTTTGTACATCAGCTTACCCTCAGAGCGCCATCCAGTGAATGGACAACGTCCTGCATGACACTCTCTAGCACAAATTGACCTTTTGATTGGGGTGTATAAAATAACAGAAGCCAAGTAGTTCCTAGGTCAGCTACTTCTTTATTGAAAACTTGTGTCGTGATATCCTGAATCTTGGCAGTGCCAGAATGCTGACCAGAAGTTCCAGTGTTGGCTCTAGCTGAGCCAGTTGATCCACCAAAATGGCTAGAAACCATTGATCCACCACCAAAAAGGTTCGAGAAAACATCACCAAGATCAAAACCACCACCAAAGGGGTTTCCACCACTGGCCCCAGGTTTACCACCAAAAGAAAAGGAAAAGGTTTTTGTATTTCCTTGACCACCCATTGTCTGCCATCCATTACCAGATGTGAAATGACTGGACTTGGGGCCACCACCAAAGTATGTATAGCCCATGATTTCCAAAATTTCCACCACCAAACCCGGGGTTACCCTTCTCATCCCCGTAGAGGTCATAGTTTTTCCTCTTCTCTTCATCAGATAGAATCTCATATGCTGCAAAGGTGCACCAATGCTCCTTCAGTATTACAGAAAAAGGCACCGCTACTCTAATCTAGCATTAGCAGATAATCTGAAACGAAACTAGTTCATGGAATATAGTTACATGACCCTTATTTGCCTGACTATGTCCAAAATATAAGACCCATTTGACGTTTGGGTAGCGCTACAGGCAAAAAGTTTAATACCTAATTTTAGTCTTCTCCAACAACAGGACCCAAAAGAGAACCATTTCTGCAAAAATGGTTTCGAGGAGAGAGATTACTCATATTTGGGTTATGCCTCTCCTGCTACCTAAAATATGTCTCCCGTATAGGTACTCTGTTGGAGGCCAATATAGTACCATCGAAGACCCATTTTGAATTTGGGTGCCCTTATAGGTATTCCGTTGGAGATAGTCAAAGAGAAGCAGAATGGGTCAAGCATAGAGCATGTACTGTTAGAAGACATTTTGCACCTTAACAAACCCAGGAGACAACATGGAATGTTAAAAATAGGTAATAGCAAGGAATTTAGAGATGACTCCACCCCTAAAAGAAGAGACAGGACCATCCCATCCCTGATAGTCCCAAAACCAAACACACCGTTAAAAACAGCTAGAACAATGCAAACATACCCTTAAAGGCAACCAGATCAATGCAAATGACTCAGGACATGTGCAGATATGATGATACCATGGCTAGTGCAAGGGACAATGCCAAATAAAAGATTATCTCATACACGTATCAGCATATACAAATTCTAAATCAAAATAGATATTGAAGAAAATAGAGGTTCTTACCATTGTTTATTTCTTCAAATTTTTCCTGCTCACCCTTGCCTTTATTCTTGTCAGGGTGGTATTTTAGAGAAAGCCTGTTATAGACATCGTAAATAAGATGAGTTGATCTAAGCTATAGGCTGAAACTAAATTGCATCATTTACTTGAATTGAAAGTTGAAGACATAAAAAATCTGAACTTACTTGTGAAAGGCTTTCTGAATATCCCGTTGGCTGGCATTCTTGTCAACTCCTAGAACCTGAAATCAAAAAAGATCATGTGAACATGCATCAATCATCTAGAAGACTAGAACAGATGTAACAACTCATAAATGTTAGGACTATGCCTGGATTTCCAATAGAAAAAAGGCTTAGATGGAAGTAATATTTCCGGTTTGAAGCGGGACCACTATCTGACATTTACTGCTTGACAACTATGAAATTTACAAATAGTGAACGTAGCTACCAAACCAAATTTAGCTCTGAGTGCTGCCACATAAACCATTTTAGTACATTGTACATGTAAAAATGGAGTATAGTAAAATCCCGTTAAGAGAACAAATCAACAACTTGGAACCGCACGCGTGCATAGTTAGCATTGTCATTTGTTCATTAATCTCTCATATAAGCATACGCCGTGTAATTCAATTGAAAAAATGCCTAGAATTTACAACTAACCAAGGAATACGTAATAATAATACGCAAAAATTACTCGCCTTGTAGGGATCTATAGTTTTGGCCGCTGCGACATGCAAGACGACCAAACTGAGGACGAGCGAGGCGACGAGGAGAGACCGGAGGGGAATCCCCATGGCGGCGTGGCGAGCGGCTCCGTTTCGATTCTGCTTCGCCGGGTGAAGCTTCCAACGCTCGATTTGCTCGGGTTTGCTTCTGCTGGGGAATATCTGGGCTGAATTCAGGCTGGGATTTGGAGGGAAGCGGAGGAGGACAAGGATTTGGGCATGGAGGAAGGCCGCCGTTTTTAGAGAGGAAGGCGTCGGTTCGGCAGAGATGTTTCGCGACACAAGGTACACGTGGCGCTTGAGAGGTATCTCCAGCGAACTCGACCAATAGAATTCGACCTTTCGAGCCCGGTTGCATGGCCAGCGCACAAATAAGTTGGGACCACGTGCCACGTAGGACGCATAGGAGTGTGTGGACTCGTGACGGTAACACCGGCGTATGGACCCATTTTTTAAGGCAAAGACTTTTATATAGGCCGGCCGTTTTATTTCCTGTTTGCACGCACACGCTCCAGCCTGTACCCACTCGTCTTCCACCTCTCACTCTCTCTTAGAGTTTCTGCCAACTTCGGCGAGCACCTCCCCAACGGCCACTCCCGTGACCCACCGCGCCCGCGCAACGCCCACGCGGCCACGTCCGTCCCACCTCTTCTTCCCCAGCTCCTGCAGGCTCAGAAGAGAAGGGATTTAGGAGAGGAAGGTTGGCTAGACGGTGGGGACGACGGAAGGGCGGTTTAGGAGCCTGGAGGTGGTAGAGTAGGCTAGACTAGGTCAAGGCGGGGGAGGGGAGGGAAAGGCCACGGAGCTCCGACGAAGTCCTAGCGCGCATAGCTGGACGGTGGGCAGCGGCAGGGGCAAGGGACGCCGGAGAGGGAGAACCGGAGAAGACGCTGGGGAGGAAGAAAATGAGCCGTCGGGGCGTAGGCCAAATCGCCCCGCCGAGCAGCTGGCCTAACACACCTCGGTCGTGTCTTAGCAGCCCCTTTTCTTATTCATTAAGTATGGACCCATATGTTGACGCTGTCGTTAAAAGGGGACACGGTTTCAAATTTCGACTCAATTATTATAATTGCCTCCTCTCATAAAAGCATGACATTTGATTAATCAAGTCTTAAAAAGACAATACCATAGATTTTTATTTCTAGTAAAAATACTTAGGAATCACAAGTACTTAAGGATTTTAAAAATACATTCTAGAAGAATTACTAATATGCTTTGAAGACTTACAAAATTAAATGTGACAAATATTTGTAACTAGATACAGAATTAAGTTTGGATGGTTCCTCAAAGCTGGGATGGCCAAACTCATGCCATGAATCTATGTTTGCCATTTGTGAAAGCGAGAAGTGTGGAAGACAAGAAAAATGGTGTGAGTGATGAAAGGAAAAAAAAGTAGAATTGAGGAATGATGAATCAAGGAACAGAAGAAAAAAATATTATACCTCATATATTATTATTATAGATATAGAGAAGCTAGAAATAAACAAGTCTTTGTCCTGTGCTGCTACAAATTTGTGGCGAAACTTTAGACTGCCATAGAAGATGATCCAATTGGTAGATGACAGAGTCCATGGAAACCAAAGGCATCTCTGAATACGATTCTGGCAACAAAAGCGGGCAAACCACCATGCCACGTCGCCCGCTAAGCCGCGAGCCATCGGATCAGGTGAGCAAGCGATTTGGTCTGTCTGATTACGGATCGGTCGGATCCCTCACCCGCTTTATCGTCGACCCGACGCGTCCCGAACCTTCGGGCCGACCTATTTATGTCCATGTAGCCCGAGGCACGACGGCACGAGCCCAGCCCGGCCCGAGGGAGCAGGCCGTGCCTGGGCCACTGCTCAGGCCCATGGGCTAGCACGGCCCGGCCCCGCCTGCGTCGGTCGGCCCGGCAGCGGCCCGGCCTCCCCCCTCCCCCTCCTCACTCCTCCTCCCCACGGCCCAGCAGCAGCCGCCCGGCCCAATGCCCCCCCCCCTCCTCCTCATGGCCCCACGCACCCAGCCCCCCCATGCTCCCACCCCCGAACCCTAACTCCCTTCCCCTCCCCCTCCCCGCCGCCACCTCCCGTTCCCCGCACCGCACACGCGCGGACGCAACGTGACTCCGCACATGCGTGGCGTGGACGCGGCCTTCCCCTTCCCCGCCGTTCACCTGCTTCTCCGCTCTACAGCCACCCTCCTCCTCCTCGAGCACAAGCTGCAGAATGCCACGATGGCCATCTGCGACTTGCCTCGGGCTCCTCTCCTCCCGTCCCTCCATGAGGCCGCGCCTTGGGTGTGAGCGCGGCGTGCTTGAGCTCCGCCCCGCCGGCCGCCGACGCCTCGAGCTCTTGCTTCCCCGTGGCTCGCTGAATCCCACCTCCACTCCAACCCGCCTCCGCCGACGGTGGCCACCTCCTCTCACTGCCACGCGCTGTTGCTCCTCCACATGCCTCCTCTGCGCAGATCCGGCCTCGTTCTCCACGGATCCGGCCTCCTCATCGTTCATCCTCCGTGGATCCGGCCTCCTCATCGCTCATCCTCCGCGGATGGAGAGGTCGTGTCGTCCATGGCCTTCCGAAGCAACGACGGCAGCCTGGCACCCTGGCCTCCCCCTCTCTCTCTGTTGGTGTAGTGGGCCTTGGGCCAGCCCGGCACGCTCGATTAGCCGTGCTTCTCGGGCCGGCTCGGCATGAAAAACGACCCAGCAGGCCATGCCTGGGCCGTCGGCCAGGCACGAAGCCCATGGCGGCATGGCCCGCAGGGCACGTCGTGCCTTGTCGGCCCGACCTCCATCGGGTCGTGCTGGCCCGTTGCCGTGCCGGGCCGGGCCGGCCCGTTGCACATAAATAGGCCGACCTTTGCCCGTTCCCTTCGCCCTCGCCCCCTGCATCAGGCTCGGGCGCGTGTGCACCCGCCCTCAGGCGACGCGGCGCGCCGGAGCGACCCACGGCCAGCCCCTGGCGACGGTCAGCCCCTCCTCTCCCTCACCGGCGGGTCCCGGTAGGCACGGGCACGACAGCTGCGATCCCCAGCCGGTGCCCCCGACCTGGCGCCGTAGTTCCGTCGTCTCGCCTTCTACATCTCGATGCCCCCCTCCCATGGCGGGTGGAGGAGGCGGCTAGCCACTGTGCCCACGCCTGCATGAGTCATCAACATGGTTGGAATCCCGGCTCGGCAACTTCTCTGTCGAACCCGAATTGACCCCTTTTTACCACCAGGTAACCATTACATTTCTCTACTTGATAGTTGCTGCTACAGGTTGGCAGAGATTTGGAATAGAATTTCATTAATGAGTACTTTTGGTTTTAGGAGTTTATTTGGATCAATCCCCATTCAGTTTTCAACCCCAAAATTCCATTCCAAGTCACATGTTTGTGAGTTCTCCTTCGATATGTGCTTTTCCAACTTCCTCTATCAGAACATGCAGGCAAGGCACTTGATTAAATGCCCCTCCTAGATACGGCAGCAGATTTAAGGTACAAAGTGTCTTATTCCATCCTTCAGTTATTTAAATGTTCTATAAATTTCATTGTTGCTTGTTTTTTAGTATATTGATCTACTAGAATAACATTGATTTCAAATAAAATAGAGTATGCATCATTCATATCAGAGCCATGGGAAGATAAAAACAACTACTAATAAGTCTACAAATAGAGATTCCAATGGAGATTTTTTTTAGTGGAGAAATATTAAAACCTCCCCTCATTTTTTCTTACTTTTTTGTACTCTATAACTATTCTATAAACTAGGAGTACAGGCATCCAGTCACCATTCTAGAGGATTTAGATACGATTTATGTTCATCTTGTATAGATAATACAGCTCTTTCTGTTCCTACAGATTTATGTGAAGCAGCTCATGAGACACATTTTAAATTAACTTAAGCACCAACATCAGTCTTGGCAGTTTTTTTTCAAATTCATGCCTGGGTTGCTACAACACTTCATACAAAGACCTATATGTACTAGGGATGAAAAAATGACGGATATTTCCCGGCATCCGAAAATACTAATGGAATAATTTATGCTTCCTGCTGCCTATATTTTATAGCTTCGGCTAGGTTTCGGTGCTCTTGGTATCCTTCTAAAATGTGTCACATTACAGTTGGTAATATTTGTGGCTTAAAGCATCTGCAGATAAGTAGGAATTGTTGCTTATAATTACTCAATGACAAATATATGTACCTTAAGCTTAAATTCCTTGTTATTTCAGGTCAACAGTTTTTTACATTTATAGGATTCGGACAAGAAAGCAATCTTCACTAACTGATGTTGAAACTTCAAAAGTTGTTTGCTTCTAGCTCAGCCATCCATTTTGTAATTCTCTTGGTTGTCCAACTTCTTTTGCAACAGAATTGCTCGCCATTCCTCCATGTTGTGTCACCTCACCATCTTAGCCTCTCTGAACTTGCTAACACCTTCTCCAGCTCGCCCATTGCAAGATCAAATGATTCGATGTCCTTCTACAAACTAAGGAATAACCATGTATGCGTTGCTTAGATATATTCTATGTTTCTCTACTTATATCTGTAGTTAATTTTATTACCTACTGTTATTAGTTTCAAAGTTTTCGTCAGATTATCATCAGCGAGGGCTCTCTGTTCTGATTTACTCCCTCTGTGCAAATAAGGAGGGCGCCAAATTTTGTTTTGATTTTGAAGTATGTCAATTATTGTTCTATAAATGAAACTAAGAAAAGTTTTTGATTTTATAATGCAGGTTCCTCAAGAGATCCAATCGGAGGCCAAGTATCAAAATTATTTCATATATTAGCTAGCAAGTAACTAATTTTACTAATATTTTGGGACAAATCAAGCTCACAGCCTCATTGATTAGAATTATGCACTTGTAGTCAATTATCAACATATATATAAAATCTGAAGGTTCCAGTCACCCTGTTGTAATACAAATGTACAAATAGGTTGTATGTGATATATTTTCCATTTCTAACAAGCTTCTAAGTTCTATGACCTTGCATGCGCGTTTTAATTGGAATTTAATAAAATTCACGGTCTCCTCGCATTGCACAGGCGAGGGTAAGGCTTGCCACTAACACCCTTCCCCAGACCCCGCACAGAGCGGGAGCTCT